TACGTTCACAAATATTAAACAAACTGACCTGCGTGATTCACCTGATGACTGGGATGTTGAGCGGATTGAGGATGGCCTGTATAATGCGGTCTGGATATTGGATTATCTTGCGGATATCCTGACGCAACGTATTGAGCTGATGCAGGGTCCTGTTGCTGCAATACAAATATAAGTCAGAGATGTAAATTTCAGGTTTTTCTAATCATAAAGTTAATTTTGAAAAAACTTAGTGACTACATTTGAATCTAGGTCTAGAAAGTTAGATCTCGGTAGATTAATCAATCTCGAGTTAGGTACACTAACCTGCGTGATTCATTTGAATTGGAGGTACATAGTTTAAACTTTTTAGATTTAGCACGTGATTTTCGCGATCATCTGGACACGGAAAAAACGTCACTGTGCCGTAAGGACCCTGAAATACTTCATTCGAGCAAAGTGTTGCTTAAAACTTTCTACGGACTCTGTTTGGGATAACGAATTTATGTTTTATTTACAGCAAGATTATTTGCTTATTATTTGCCTTACCCTTCATCATATTTGCTCAAGTAGCTAATTACCAAGCAATGAATGACAATATTATATCTGAAAAAAGCGACAATGCCTCTCGCGCCCACAATGTAAGTCATTTCAGCTCGATTTATCACACCTATATTATTTTCTCGCAGATGCAGTTTATAAACAGGAATATTAGCTGGATTTTTCGGACGATTTTATAATTTTGAATTGTAAGAAATAGAGTCCTTAGATCCGTAAATAACCAATTTATATGAAAAAAAGCGCAGCCTTTCAACGTTCTCGGCAGTAAATCTGATCCCATAATGATGAACTATTTGACAAAAAGAGAGTAATTAGTTGGAGAAAATGAATAACTGACTTAGAATACTTACAGCAATATGGGGGATCTTGCTTAGTTTGAAAGTAATACTCTTGTTTCGGCCTATTTTGGACCTCTTCTTGTATTTGTTGACTTTCACCAAAACCAGAATAGATCGCACATTTGCTTCCATCTTCACCACAATCCGTGCATAGTCCTCTAAGGAATTCTTGATGGCTTCCACATGCATATCCAATGAATTGACAATCGTCAGTCAACTGGTCAGGCTTGAAAAGCATTAATTTCGTGGTAACCCGTGATATCAGCTAATAACACCTAGATTAGAAACAAAAAATATGTTTGAAACCGTAAACACAAAAATTTAACACCAGTAACTGCTTTTGTGTGAAGTAGCGTTGAATTTCTGAATTTAAAATCACAGTTATGCTTTTCACAATCAGAGGCTTATACTATTTGCAGCTGTCATTTTGATTTGAAAATTACCATCAACAAATCCTTTCTTGAAAAGTCTATACAGTGCTTTCTTTTTTTCACATCTAGGTTGTTGAAATCCACCGTTGGGGAAGAAATCAATATTTCCAGTTAGATTTTTGAGCCCAAACCCTATGAAGAAAAGGTTGATATAAAGATATGTCTGTAAAATTATCTTACCTATAGATACTATTATATGATATCTTACCAACGTATTCAATTTCTGCATAATCTGTATGCAGGACCTCAACATAATTTGCAAGAGATGGTTTGAGTTGATATAGAATTGATTCAAAACCTGGTCCCGCTGGATCTAGTGCTGTAATTCGGTGAATCATCGAGTTATCCGGCATGAGGTTTGCAGCGTAACTGGCCACATGGGCACGAAGAGAGTGCCCAATAATATGTACGTGCATTTCTGAATGAACTGCAAGTTTATTTGTAAAATTAACCAGAACGCTGGCAACAGTTTCGATATTTCGGACAGCTTGCCAGTAAATGATTTTCAATCAAGTTTTAAAAATAAAATGTTTTATTGTGTTTAGAAGCTTTGTTCTAGTTCATTATTTTTTATCAAATTCAATCTTTATCATTTGAATATTTGGCTTAAAGGATGAACCGTCAAAGCCCGGTGTGCCAGTGCCATTCAACCTTGTTTCCCTTCCTTTTCTCGGTTTGTCTCCTCGTCTTTGATTCCCTCTTGTTCTCGGTGTCAAACTCAATGATGGTGGTAAGGTTGTCGGATTGCTTCCTTTATGGATTGTTAGGTCTAGCTTTTGCTTTTCTCTGACTTATTACGATTCACTGTGTTCGAAATGGCTAACACAAGTCGAGAAGTTAGTGCAAATTCAGTGTAAACCTGACAATCTTGTTGGATTTAAACAATTTACTGATAGAGATGGCGAAGACATAATTGATTGGTTACAGTAAAAAAACCTCGTTTTTTGCAAAATCATTGACACGAAATTCTCACAAAGTATTTTCATTACTTTTATACCCTCAGCACAACAACATCAAGTTAAACGTTTAAAAGTACAGACGCGCTGTCTTAGATGACAGTTTTTAGATTTCTAAGTGGCTTTGTGTGCAAAGGTGAACTTTCACCTCGCTAATTTTCGCTTTTGCATATGCATCTACCTCTAACTTCAAAAATGAACAATCACGGCTGAATAATCGATGTATTTCATTTAGTTCACTCGATTTGCGAATCTTTATTGAAATCTGTAGACCACAACAAAAGGTTCTGTACTCTAATATTTTGAATTGTAGTAAAATCTGATCTGTATGTTTTGTCGAAAACTTGAGCTGACAAAGCAACATTTTCGAATGTCTTCATTCGGAGCATAGCATGCTTCATTGTAAGATACTTCGAAAACGATTTAATGACATTTGGGCATGACCAGTTTTCAAAAACGGTATTAACCATATTGTTTCTGTGCAAAATGTTTAAAAATCACAAATTAAATGCTAATTTAATTGTTGGAAATCAAAGACAATGGAACTATAATATCAGGTTTATTTCATTTTTCCTAAGATTGGATGATGATTGTGACATTTTTTCATAAAATTTCGATTTTGAATGGTAAATTCTCTATCGATTTAGATTTCGAGTCTTATAAGGCTTGTACTTTCAGTTTTCATTAGAAAAGAAAAAGATTCAACGTATTAGGAACGAAACGACTAACAAGAAAGTATTGTAAGAAGGTATACGACCAATAAGAATCCATTATATAATAGATTGATTATAAAACTGTCTGAATGAATGTGTTGGGGGTATTCATTTATTTTCATGTTTTCTTTAAACTATTGCTCATTTAACAGCAAATTTCCCAACACAGATATTAATTTCGCGATCGGTATGAAAGAAGTATTACTTTCATGTCGGTAGATAACTTATGTCCTAGTCATGGTCTTCATTTAGGTTTTTTGAAGCCAACTGTACAATTTTATCACATCCAATATCTTCTTCCAATGTTTCGTGGCGGCGAAGAAACGTGAATCTTTTAAGGGACAAAAAGTTACTGTGAACTACTCAATCAAATAACAATTTATCGTAATTAAAGAAATGGACCAAACAAAAGTGTTCACCCAACAACAAGCAAAATGTTTAACTAATAAAAGTGTTGCAATAAATTGTGCTGTTGAACTTTGCTGTTTTTGATACTTTTTTCACAGGGTTTAATCTGTTGGTAATTTCACTTCAACACGTGATTCAATTAAACCGTAGTTTACATTAAATTGATTTTTCCAGATCATTAACTGCAAATGGTTCCACTATTTTCACAAGAAAATAAACAGACAAAAGCAAACCAATCAAGCCAACCTTTGCTCATTTGAGTTTTTTTTCTTTGCGTTTCTCTCTTCACAACACACTAATCTTCCTCTTATCATTCCCTCGGTGCATCTCACTCCCAGTACTTCATCATTTACGTAGCCTTTTCTCTTGCATCGTTTCAGCTCAATTGTTTTTAGGGCAGGCATGAACAGAGAATTGACTTTAATCGCGAACAGATTCAAAAGGAATGTTGAAAAAGAGAAATGCAAGTAAAGTATTTACCAGCATCATCACCTGTAACAACAGGACACAACACTTTTCCAGCAGGAAGTAATAAAAGAGTGTGATTAATGTCAAGTGGTGCACAAGAGTAAGAAGTAAAACTGAGACTGAGAAGAGAAGATGCAAGTTTTTTGTGCTCTCAATGAAATGAATCTTGCATGAATATTGGAAAGTATACCTTTTGCTCCTCTAATTACCTTTAATTGCATGGTTCAATGGTTACTCTGTTCTGTATCATTTGTGATAACTCTGCAAACGATGGAGAATATCATGGAAAATGATCAACCCAATGGAAATCAAGTCCATTTAATCTTTCTTCATTAATTTAATTTCCCTTTATTGCAATTAATTAAGGTTTGCATAGTGTTTTTTTGTTGCCATTTTTACCCAGTTTCTTGCCTTTGCTGATTCAATCAAACAATCAAACGCACTTTTTTGCATTTCTCATTTTCTTTGATCGAAACCAAAAATCATCTCATTATTTTATTCAATTTATTCAACCTATTGATTCACCGTTTAATCTGATACAAGTTATCAAACAGTGCAAGTTAATGGTCAAGATCAAGCAAATGACTGGTGGAAAAAGATGCCTTAATGAGACTAGCCAAAGTAATGATGAGCATGAATGCAAGTTGAGCAGTCAAGGGCCACAAACTGTTTAGACAGCCACAATTGTATCATTGATTTTCATTGCAACTGAATAGAGGCTTTGCAATCATAATTATTTCTCGTTAAGGTTAAGTAAAATGAAAGACAAAAGTTTAGATGAAAAGATTCGTGAAATGTACGAGTGAAGGAAGATGGAAAATATAATATATTTTAAACTTTAATTTCATTGGCATTGTAAAATTGGATTGAATCAGGAAACGAAAATTGCAAATAGGAAAAGGAAATACAAAGTAGATTCCCGTCCAGGAAATTTACTGATTCAGGGTTTCTGATATGATGGTGCATTAGAACGTTGAGTTTGTCTCCATTCTGTGTTGAGAAGGAAAAAATCATTTTCTATTGAATTTTTGTTTAGCAACTACTATTTTCTGTTTAATGTTTAAAGTAGATTCATGGTGATTCAAGTTTTGTAAAGAACCCAGAATGATACTAGTTTTACAATTTTGAGTTCTACTAGAGACAATAATGTGGTAGAATAACAAAGAGCAAGTTTAATTTGGAAAGAAAGGACCAAAATCCAGCTTGATGAGGTGTGTATCCTTAATTAATCTTGTTTCCTCAGTCAAGACAATCATCAAGAGAATTGCAATTTTCTTAACATGTACATTGTTTTCAACTGTCTTACTCTTTTTATGCATTCATCTCTACACATTTGTGCTCATTCGTGATAATTTCATCCATTTTCCCATATCACACAATTTTCTCCAGTCTTAGAGTATTAATGAACTGCCTAAATTACCCACGTCTAATAAGCTCACTCTATAAATTTTATATTTTTTACCTTTTTCACTCCTTCTTTCTTCATCAGTTGCTGTAATTTCATGTGAACTTATTCTAATGCCAATCTGTGTGCATTCGCGATATTTGTGTATTCTTATTAGGTTGCCAGTAGCCAGTGCGGGGACTACGATTGCCAACTATTTTGGATTGATTATAATGATACTTGAATTATTGAGGGCCAATTTGCAACTAGTTCAGGGCCATTCAGCTAATACGTCCATGTATAAGTGCCGTTAAGTGCGAACAACTTCACAACAGTCGAAATAAAATAATCATGAAAATCAAGGGTATGGTGAGACTCATAATGAACATAATGATAGATTGGAAATGTTTGGTGATCAACTGTTGATTAAACTTCTTGTTATTTGTTTATATACTGTTGGTATTATAATTGAATACGGTAGATAGGGAATATGCTTAAAAGACAACTTACTTTATTAGTGTAACGAAGTAGACAACTCATGTACTCATGTACTCATTTATGTAGTAGAAGCAAATTCATTGACCAAAGTTACAGGGTAACAGTTAATAGATGGTACACTTGAGGTGTTTATTGCCCAAATACAGTCAACGATTAAAGCAACATTAACATCACCGAACAGTTGGACAACATCTCCTAAGCCATATTAGGCACTCAATCACGTTACCCAATCTTTAATAAATTATAACTGTAAATAGGCTCAATGGGTAAAAACGCTCTGTAGAGCCCACATCAAGCTAGCATCTTGACTCAGAACAGGGTCAGTATAGACTATACGGAAATCTCATCAACAGATTTATCATTGAAAAGGCTGATCAGAATTATTTGGATTGAAGGATTGGAAATGTTGAAAAAGATGAAGATGATTTAATTCTCAGTTGGTTATAAAATGGGCAGAATAAAGGAAAGTCAAGTGAAATTGAATGAATGGCAACAGACAAAGAAAAATGAGACAAGAGAAAGAAATGCTGAAAGAATGAAGTGATCATCAATTGAAGCATCGATGAATCGGAATGTCGACTCCATCTGACAATGATATCGTTAACAGAAGAAGAAGAGGAAAAAAAGAAGCAAGAAAATAGAGTAAAAGGTGAGAAATTTTCATTGTTATCCTTTTAAATGGCGTCATCAGGATCATCATCACCATCATCAACATCAACACCAGCAACACCAGGCAAAAGATTTACAAACAAAAGCATGAGAAGAAGAAGCAAGAGAGAAAAAAAGAGAAATGACAAAATATAAAAGAGAGAAATGAATAGGTATTATAAAGATGTGAACAGAGATCGAGAGACACACTAAATGATGTATAGTTATTGATGATTCCCAATTGAGGGAGGATGTTAAAGGGTTGAAAAATTCAATTGATGATTTTTTTCTTGCTACTTGCTTGCCAAGACTCATTGTTCACCAAATATTATCCATTATTTGCATCAACATTACAATGGTAAAAAGATTAATTTATCAATTTGTGGTTCACGAGACTTTTTTGTGAATGTTACTCCTCCTCATCGAGATGCAAATTGTAATACTTTCCTATCAAAAAGTAAGCACAAGAATGGCAGCCAAATGTGCAACAATAATTGAAACAACAATCTATCAAATGAATCGCACACTGTCTTAATTGTATTCCTTGGAAACAATTAGATTATTTAATGAGTTTTGCTTTGCTCAATTGTCTAGTTTGAGCTTGTTTTGCCATTTTCATTTTTGCGACGAAAAGAAGAAGAAAAAAAATGTTTTTCTGACATAAATGGATAAATAAATTGTCTCGATCAAGAGAAGCAAAAAAAGAAGAGGAAAAAACTTTCCAAAGATTGAGTCTATTCATTGTGAAATCAATTAATTATTACATCAAATGTTTCCAGCTTGATAAATTGAACTCCTACAAACGGAAAGTATCCTAAATGCAATATCAATCCTCTAATTCATTTCTCATTGTATTGCACTATTGGTTTGCGTGTGTTTCCTTTGCACTCGTTCATCATTGTCTGGAAACCAATGCTTTTTACATCCAATTCATTGCACCATTTTCAATGTTTCAATGAGCGATTCAACCTGATTTCATGCTAATGTTCATTGGATGTTATCAATGGTAAATTGATGATGAACAAAGATCTATATGAGCTTTTCAACAGCTTTTTCATTCAGATTATTGTTCAACACTTTACACTCAACCCATTTCAAAATTTTACAACTTTTCTCATTCCATGACAACTCTTGGTATGGTGAAATTGACAACTTTGTTTGTCAAATTTTTCAATATATATTCAACAAAAGTTCAAGATAATGACAATATCAAAACAATAACGTTTGATTGCATCGTGACTTTCATTTGATTGGTGAATGGATAGGTGAACGAAAGCGAAAATGAATGGAACTCAAAGTTTTTTTTCATCATTTGTAGACTAGTGAGCTTCACTTTTCCCGTTTCTTAATCAGAATTATTGATGTATTTTTTTCGCTTCTCTCAACCTTTTTAGTCTCTTTTTTTCGTACTCAATGTCAACTGGTAAAGGAATAAAACTAATAGCCTCGAGGTTTTCCTTTGTATATAATGATGATAATGATGAGATATTTTTAGCTTTTCACTTTAGTCTTAACATGATTGAATTATGTCTCATCAACATGTGCCAACAGTATCGTATAAAGAGACGAGTATGAGAAGGAAGCATGGAAAAGGAGAAAATGTAAAGATAGAAAAGTTGTCAATAGAAAGAAGAAAGGAAAGAGAAAAAATAAGAAGGAAAAAAGCCAATTAGACTTAATTTTCTTTCATCTTGCCTTTCATCTCATCTTGTTGATTTAACATTTGTTGCATCCTTTGACTGTTAAGCACATCAACAAATTACTAACCATTTTTTTCAATTACCAAGTTTGTCATGTCAATTCATAAATCAATAAAAAATGTTCTCATAAGCACAAAATTATCGTATCAATAAAACAATTTGCTAGTCAGCAAAAGTAAAATTCAAGGTGAAGCAAAACCTGCAACTCGATATATCTTCAAAGTACTTGAAGCATCAAACTCGACTGAAACACAAAAAAGTGTTGTACGAATAATTCAATGAGTGGGTCAATGAGCTTGTCTTTGGGGCAGTATGATGTGAAGTTCAGTTCCTGAAATTGTCTGGCTAATGTTTCTGGCGCAAATTTTAAAAACATTAATTTCAATCCAATTATAATCAAAAATCAACTCTATTTTTAGACCTGTCTTACTTAAATCCTAGTTTTTTGTTTATGTTGATCAAGTCAAAAAATGAAATTAAAATTGATGTTTGTCTCTTAAATTCGAAGATCTTGTCAATTTATCAGGAGTCCACAAATGTAGACTTTAGGTAACGATAATTTCACAGACTTGACATGATGCATGCTGCATAGATTTAGATGCTTTTCTGGTTGCCAACTTTTTGTTTAAATGTTAGTTATAAACCCTTTCAAACATGATCCGATATTGTCTAGTGGTTAGGATATCTGGCTTTCACCCAGAAGGCCCGGGTTCGATTCCCGGTATCGGAGAAAAGCAACTTTTTGATGATTCACATTGAGTAATGAATAATTGGTGCGAGTTTTAAATCATTTTGATATCAGCTTACGTTTGCTCATTATTAGTGACTGACAGATGACGCAGTAAATGAAATCATTTGGTTATTTTGCTTTTAGATTTTTGTTTAGATATGGACGAATTTGAGAAATTTAATAAAATTATAAGTAAAATCGTCATTCAGCGTGGAAGGGCGGTTTTCTCGAATTATTTTCGTTTCTATTGAATTAACTACTGTGAAAATCACTAAAAGTTTTGTTTTGTTGCAGTATTGAAATATCCAAGAAAATTTGGATGAAAACTTCTTCAATATCGTTATTCCAAGACAAGTGACAAAGCTCTATGTGATTCTTGCTATATTCCCATAAATTCATGCTTAGCATGAAACGCATTGCTTACGAGTTTCGACACTTATGCCGGAAAAAAGTCATCAAGGTTTAACTTTATACTGCTCAGTATAGTTTAGTATCGATTGTAAACGTAGTCTGCTCATCGAGAATTGTTGCTCCTAAAATGTTCCAGACTACAGATAATTTGGTAAAATGTCGAGAGAAAAGAAAAGAAAGTGATCAAATTGGTCTTTCGTCACTTTTTTTACTCTTCATATTGAGATAATCTATTTATCTGGTCAACTTGAAATTGGTTCACTGATTGATGTTGATGGTCACAAAGTCTTTTCAAAAGATTACCAACAACTATCAAAATTGAGATAAAGAAAAACGGTGATGATGAGGAATGAAAGGAAAGCAAAAGAAAGGAACCATTTTTTCATCATCTTTCCCTTCAAAATGGTTCATTTAACTTGCTCAAAGAGCTCCTTATTTTTTTGCTGTTGTCCGCCTCATCTTGCCTTGCCTTTTAATCTTTACTCTCATTCTGTGTACAATTCATTCATCTATCTTTTCATCTGATCAAATAGACCTTTTAATTGGATTAGTTTAATGAGATTAAGGAATTATAAATCGGCTTTTATCCTTTCCTCTCTCTTTACTTCCTTGTCTATCAAATGTTATTATTTATCTTGGCCGTTCTGCTTTTCCTCTGTACTGGCCACTATTCAACTTTGCCTCTCTCATCTCTAGTTATTTTGGTCAGGTTAATCTTTGTGTCACTAAACCGACAAGTGCAAAGCAATTTCACAAGTGATTATCAAAGTGAAAGGATGAAAATGTCTTCTCCAGTCCGTAGAAAGGGTACTTTGTTTACCTTTTTTGCCTCCTAGAAGTGATCCATTCCTGCATCAAATGAAACTCTTTACCCTCTTTCCCTTCACAAGCTTCTTTTCCCTTTTCATTCAAAGATTTTGTTTGCTCTTTTTATTTACCTTTGCTTGGAATTAAGTTTTTTTTGCTTTCTCAGTTACAATTAACTGCTGATTAGGTGAAAAAATCAACTTGCACTCGATATCAACTGCTGTTTCGAGAAATAAAGTAAAGCCAACAAAACAATGTGCAGCATCATCAGATGAAAAGAACGACAAAAAAAGTTTCTCCTTTTTTTCTGCAATTCAATCATGAGATGAACTTGTAATGAAATAATATATTAAAGTTTCAGTTGAACAAGATAATCTGAAAATATTGTAAAACTAAACTCTTTTTTATTGGCTAAATATTACAGCAAAGCCAATAAATACAATAAACAAATAAACAAAGTCAATGAATCTTTGAATATTATTCTGCTTTATATGATGATGATTATTGCCCCTAATCATTTTCAATCTGCAATTCATTTTATTTAACATGATAATAATAGGAACAATAATGATTTCTGAGATTTGCGATGATTCAATGTGTTGTTGCAACTCGTAATAAGTCTCATCATGTTCATGTAGAGTCGCCAGCATAATAATAATAACAATAATCATCATCATCAAAGTAACCATCATTATCATGTTAACCATTGTTGAAACTATGAAATCAACTGATTGTTTACGATCAACATATTTTTTCGTGTTTCCCTTTCTGCTTTCCTTTGAACTTGTAACAAGCCAATTCTGTTGATCACTGATTAGCCAGCAACAACAAGAGCATTAGAGACACAATAAACAGTGAACCTCAATTGGCACTAAAGGTACAAAAATGAAAAGGATGATGATGAGAGTGAGAATAAAATGCAAAGAAGATTAGGTAAGAAGAAAGTGAGAAGATAAAGGACGAATAGAGGCAAGAAAATGATATCAGCAACAGCCAAAAAGTGGAAAAGAAGATGAGACTGAAAAAGGTTGGAAAAGAAGAAGAAAAGAAAAGATGAAAAGACAAAAATCTAGCATCACGCATCTAATGGTAAATGATGTTTTCAAATGCACACCATACAGGATGATAATGGGTGATGATGGTGATGATATGGACAAGAGTGAGAAACTATGACATCCAAAGGAAAAGATGAGTCTAATGTTATTATGTACAAGATCATACAAGTGATCTTTGTCTTACTAACTGTTTCTCTGTTTTTTTTGTCTGTTCTTGCCTTTACTCTTCGCCTTCCCTATCATCATTGCAATCATTTTCATCATTATCATTT